GATTTTATTTTTGCTTTAACACATCGTCATTATTGATTAATGAAAGTGTTCAAAATATTATAAATATTCTATATCATTTGACAAGTTTACAGTTTAAGCAAAATGATTTGAAAATTCCTATCGTGTGCATTAGAAACATTTTTTTTCTCAAATATCATAAATAAATATCAAAACTTTTTTCTGGATTTTTTAGTAATCAAATTTATTTTGAATCACCTCTAAATGGTAAGGTGATGTAGACAGGCTTTTTTTTCCACAAAGGCTACAGTAGGTCTCAGCATGCCATGAACGTTCCATCTATCGATAAATTTAAGTGCAATACAAACAGAGTTTGATAAGTTGCCTATTTAATAGGCAACATCGTATTTGCATAAACGACGCTATTGATGATTATGTAAAGTTGTTAAACAAGAAATTCATTTTCGTTTTTTTTTGGTGAAACTGCATTTGATTTTCAGAAAAACAAATTTAACAATTTCCTTTCATACTTGGGTAATGATAAATTGATGACCAAATAAAGAAAAAGAAATGGTATAAAATACCGAAAGTCTTTCATAACAGTAATGAATCAAAAAGGAAAACAAAACAAAAACATGTTGAGTAATTTCATACAAAGTGGTGTGATCTACTTATATCCATATAAGTAGTATATGGTGTTGGTTAGACATGGAATGTATTTTGTCAGAAGACGGATAGGGAAAGAACTGAAATGAGGCGTAATTAGTGGGAAAATGCATGAACAGTGGAATTAGAGAAGATGAACTGATATTTACAGAAGGAACAGTGAAGATTGAGACAATTGCTTGTTGTTTTGCAAATTAACTGTTTGGTTTATGGTTATCAGAATTTAGTGAGATTTGTAATTTGTACTTAAATACATTCGATTGTCCCCATTCGTATTTTATTCATTACAAAAGTACTTTAACATTTATGCTAAACAGTAGGATATTTAAGTGACTTAATAAACATCATTCTATTGTATCAGTTTTACGAGCTTATTAATAACTTTGATTTAAAATATTATCGGTTGGTGATAAAGCTGAATGTCTAAAAACTAAAATGAACTAAACTTTGTATTGAGTTACATTAACTCTTTACACTGTCTATTGTATATGAGCTCATTTTTAACCGTTTTATTCTGTTTATTTCCCTTGACAAAATAATTTACATTAAGCCATAAAACATCAGAAAGTTAATTTTCTACTCATAAAGACATAAATATAGCATTAATTTATCATTATAAACTAATCATTTAATGTTCAGCTTATATGAAGTTATAAAGACCAAACCTGGTCATAATTATTACATAACAGTTTTAGAATTGATTAACATTTATATTGTGGTGTGGTCTACTTATATCCATATAAGTAGTATATGGTGTCGGTTAGACAGAATGTATTTTGGCAGAAGACTGATGAGGAAAGTACTGGAACGAAGCGCAATCGGTAGGAAAATGCACGAACAATGGAATTAGAGAAGAAACAGTGAAGATTGAGACTATTGGTTGTTAATTTGCAAATTTACTGTCCATTGTATGGTTTTCAGAATTTACTGAGAAAGTCTGTAATGTTTTGCTTGAATACATTCGATTGTCCTCAATCAGTGTTCTGTCCCCTACAATATGTTAGAACGGTCTTCTGAATAATGGATACCTCAGAAGATGTCTTTCATGATTATTTTGGCAGGTGTAAATACTCAGTTTTCCACGAAAATATATCTACTACATATGGCTATAGTATTGACACATAAATGTAGAGCAACTGTTGTGTAATGCCTTATTATTCGGACCCTCTGACGTTTTCAAAAATCAATTTGACTCCATGATATAAAGTATAGAAAGGAATCATTTATAAACCTTTTATTATTTCTATCGATAGAAGTGTTTGTGGAGAATATTGATTAGCATAGTTTACAGATTGACCATTTTAACCATTTTAAAACAGAAGGCATCACGCAATTGTTTTATACTTGTATATGACTTTCAGTATGTGGGTTTACGACCACAGCAATCGCCGGATCCAACACATATATACAGCAGATTAAGCGTCCGATGGTTCGCATTCTCAACCCCAGTCAAATCGTCACATTGTTCGACCACACTTCCATGCTAACGGTTAGTAAATGCCCCCCATTCAATATGGTTGATGTTTGATGACTATGGCTTCCCTCTAGGACTCCGGAAATTACCTCCTCAAATTAGTCACTAGTGGGCTTATGGTTATCGTGAGAATGAGGGATTTGTAGAGATTATTGGATGTTAAAATTTATATGAAGGAGTCGTCATGATTAGAGCTTAGTTATTTTCCGGTGGTTGTTATTATCAGTTAATTTTTAAAAATTATTGAGTATTTAGTAGTGTTAGTGAACGTTAAAATCCCCATTTCAAACTGCATCATAAGGCAAGCTCTTAATTGAAATCCTAAAGGAAAAAGGAACAGAGAAACACCGAGGAACAGATTGCATCGGGAATCGGAAGCAGACATAAAAAAATGAAAAGCAATTAGAAAGAACTGGAAAGGATTGTCCAGGACAGACTTTGATAGAGAATTCTGCTGGGCAACCTGTGTGTAAGTAAGTAAGCATATCGACTTACTTTATAGTCCCGATTGTTTCATCTTAGATATCGATTAAGAGAACCTTTCAAAATGATTAATGGTTAGAATTAGTTATACGAAAACCTAAATATAGGTTTCGTTTGTACCGATAGCCATTAGTATAGAGCATGTTAATCTATAAAAATTTGATGTTTTCTGTTAAATTTCAACCCGCGTCACCTAGAGTTACAATAAGATATATACAGACAAGCTACTCGAAATTTGAACCTCCATGAAACACAGGTATCATTACCAAGACATGATTTGATAATTTTGAATAAATTGAGCATTGGGTAGATTGTTATAAATAAATTATATATTTGTAATATCCCAATGAGTAGAAAAATTAGATTTTCTGACGTTTCGTGACTCAGTGTAAGCCACTTCTTCAGAGAATAAATAACCAAATTTGGTTATTTATTCTCTGAAGAAGTGGCTTACACTGAGTCACGAAACGTCAGAAAATCTAATTTTTCTACTCATTGGGATATTACAAATATATAATTTATTTATATCCATAAAACACAGTTGATCTCTTTTAATATTTTTGATCATAAGCAGCATAATTAGTAGTATATTGAAGGATCACATTAATAGCGAACATTGAACTGGGTATCCTACAGAATCACTGGAAATTTTGTTCCTAGTCATATTTATTTAGTTTTTGGATATATCAACAAATCTATTGGTTGATGAGCAGTTACGATTATGAATACTCTGTTTTTCAACTATAATTGCAAATTTTTCTAAGGTTCCAAGCACACAGTGTCTCAATAGCAAAAAGCATTCTTTAAGTTATCGGATATGTTCACATCTATAAATAGTTGAAATTTTGCCTTTTATAGTGACTTTATTGAGTTAACAATCTAATTCTAAATATTTAACAGTCGAATTAAAAATGATATACCAGTGTTAATTTAAGTTGTAGCATACTATCTAACTGCACAGAGAAGAATTATGATAATTTAACAGTCGAAAGAGTAATGACTTCTCAGAAAAAAATCTCCCTGGATATTTTAAAAATCAATTCGAGTGAGACATTAAGAGTTTTCCTTGCGTGCTTTTATACCATACAAATCATTTTGAGACTAAAAAACATAAATACTGTATTTATATTCATTTTAATTATTTCATTTTGATTTTGTTTAGTAACTATTAGATAAAGAGATCCATCACGTCTTTAAGATTGTAAGAATATTTTGATAGTTTCTGACTTTAGAAAAATTAACTTTTAAAACGTGTTTACTACGATGATGAGAAGTAAAAAGGACAAACGATATGGATGGACAATAAATATAGAATGCGTCATTTCAGTCAGGAAACTTTTAATATATGCAGTACTAACATTCCCCATTCAAAGTAATTATCATGTTAGATGTATATAAAATAAAGCTGACCAGTCAATGAGACAAAGGCATAGCGAACCTTAATGAATGCTGAACAAATTAGTTTGTATATTCATTTTAGTATAAATTTATCAGATACTCAGTTGAAACACGTATTGTATTATGGAATTTGATCACGTTTGATTACTCTTTGTATAAGAGTAAATTAGACAAATGTGATTCGTGCAGAATTTGCACTTATAATAATCTCTTAGAATTTATTTATTTAAGGAATTTTATTCACTTGAAGGACTAAAATCCTAATTTTTACCGTAAATCTGAACTTGTTTTAGTCACATTCATTCACTTATGTCTGTATTCATTTATAATCACTTTTCAAAGTCAACAGAAAACCAAATCTACTGAAGAAATTTTTTTCATATACCACACTATCAAATATTCATTTTTTAAAATAAAAAGGACAAGACTGCTCGTGAAATACTGAATGAATATTTACTTTGTTCAAGAGCCAGTGAAGCGAGATGATATATATGTATATTCATAGTTGAAATAACCAGTCAATCTAAGCTGGACCGTTATTAAAAATTCGAAAGAACTGGATGGCTGTTTCCTCCTATCACGAAACTCCTCAGCAGTCTGCATTCATAATTCGGCTCGAGGAACTCGAACCCAGGGATTTCGGCTTCGTGCAACGAAACGGCTGTCCAGTGCTTAAAGATTTTCAGTGGTGGTCCAGCTTTGATCGACTCGTAATTTTGACTATGAAGATTCTAGAATCTCGACAAATCCTTATACTGATATATGTATATGTTTGAAACACTACAGGATGAACGTAAACTTCAAGTTCCAAAACCTGTCAAACTATTTTCTTGATCATATGAAATCTTTCATCACAAAATAACAATGTCATAAAGTCATTAGTTTTTTGGCGTTTAATTTTGGCTTAGAAAATCCTTCCTGTCGTATAATGTATATATATACATATATTTATATGACTAAACATAATGTTTATTTTGAATTCAAGAGCAAAATATCTAATATAAACATATATAAATATTACCTGACAGTTTAATGTTTGCTCTTGGTAAAGTTGCATGTTTATCGTTTAATCGAAATCTGTGCAGTATATTCGAATAAACATTGTCTTCTTTATCTGACATTGAACGTGGTGTATTTGTTTTGACATTTGATGCTGGAAAAATTTCGACTGGATAACCTTTTGAAAGGAACTCAGACAATGCTTTTGTCACCTTGATATTTTGAAAAATATCTAAATCACAGCCTTTATGCTTCCAATTTATAGAACTGAATGCATGTGGTTTATTACTTTGTATCGTTGTGAATGCTGAATCTGTATGTAGGACATGTTCAACAGATGACTGAATGCTTTTAATTCCACTTGCTGATGGAGGCTTATGTACAAAAAATTCATAGGCTGAAAATGCATTAAAACACGTATCTACATAAAATTAATATAACAATAACTTACTACAATAAGTAACAATATCTTAAAGCAACCATCAGCCTATGCTAGCAAATACAATTTATGTATTAGTCGGTGAATTCTTCTTATTATTATTAATTGGTAATTAACAGTACAACTTAAGTAGTCCTATTTATTCTTTGGTTTTTCCTTGAGAAAAGTGTCACGACTTTAAAAAATGTATCATCCTTTCAACTAAAGTGATTAAGACTATTTGTACTGTTAAAGGTTTTAATCAAACAACCAATCGACAATCATAAAATAAACTTAATCCTTACTATTTTCAGATCCTTACAATGAATAAGATACTTCTTTTCTATTAAATAACTCTGAAGTATGTTTTCTTTTTAATTTGTTATAATGACTAACTGTTCATTAAGTCTCAGTGATAAACAAAGATAAATTGTAAACAATAGTCAACTCTGAAATGAATATATGAGTTAACTATTATAGAAAGTTGAAAAGGTTATATTCTATGAAATATGATATAAAGATTAGATTTACATTTCATTTGTTCCACTATATTAACTAGTGAGGATTATCTGTTCAAATCAAAGAAAATTGGACTATATTTATTCTGAAGTTAGGTTATTTAGTTAATCAGATAATTATGATTTATTTTAAACATGGTTTTACATTAAAAATGGACAAAGGATAACCAAAGAAAGTTCAAAGTTTAAACGAAATGGTTTCATGAATTTGAAGATGAATAAAATTTTCTGAAGAGTAAGCGGACCGAAATGATATAGAATCTATCGCTGACAAATTTTGTACGTCATTATAAAACCTGACTTCTAGTCAGTTCTGCTTAAGAGATATACGTTTACTTATCCAATGATTTTAGTAGAATTTGAGTTCATTTGGCATATCCTTGACCATATATGACCCCTTAGTTCAAGTGCTCTCTCTTTTAAGTATTAAACCGCACACGCTCAATTATGTTTTTGAGCTGGTTGTTTATTAATTTACTTTTTTTAATTAAGTATCACAACTTACGGATATTGATAATCTAGACTTGAACAATCTGAAATCAGTATAGTTGAGAACTATGTTGTCCTTCCAGCCTATCACAACAATAGACAATAGTAATGCAAACGAGTAGGGGATTCATGTCGTGGAAATCTGAACTTTCTTCTTTACGATAAACGATAAAAATATATCAATATATTGGAACAACAAATATGAGCGAACAATGATATTTTCAGTTTGATCATCATCAGCATCCACTCTAATATATAGTAATATTTAGATGCATATCCAAAAATACCGAATCGATCCATGCGTATCTACAAATTCATATGCCCCTATGGAGAAATCTCTGCTTGGCGCACTACCAGACATCTCAGCCAACGAGTTAGTGAACACTTCCCTTCGTCATTGGGAAAAGGTAACGTCAACACAATACACAGCTGTCACACTTGATCAATAGCGGTCATGTAGTAGATAGAAATATGTCAATTAAAGTGGTCTATCGTATCCCAAATAGTTCTCATTATGGGGTTTGATCTCATATCATACACATAGCAGAAACTAAAGGTATTTGAGCCAACAATGCAAGTCTTAGTATTCATAAGAAATTTATAATACCTTCATCCGTTCCTTGCGTGAATTAACCTAGATAAGAGATTTTATTTATATTTATTTTCATACAGCACTTTCCTTCACACCCTTTTTGAATGTACGTTTTATTGTCCAATTATCGGAACACCTATTATTACGTAATCCTACAATTTTGAATGATTGTTATTTCACTGTCTATTTCTTCAAGTCATTTACATACTTCCTTTCATGAAACATGGATTCAAACTTTTGTTATTCATATCCCGACTAGTAAACCTCACATCATACAACCAATTCGTATTTTCACTTATCATGTTTAATTCACTTATCTAACTCACTTTTTTGAACTGAATCTCAAACTGCCTTGATTGACTGAATAACTTTGTATATGCATATAAATATTACTGTATATTAGAGTGAAGCCTGATGCAGATCTAACTGAAAACAATATTGTTCACTTATATTTGTTATTCTAATTCACAATATATATGTAAGTTAAGTAAAATATATTCGTCATGATTAATAAGTCATACCATTATATTTTTTCACCTTTCGACCCATTAGTATCACCTCTTTGAAACTACGGAGCATGCTTCTATTGGGTTCGTCAACTAAAATTTCAACATCGAGTGCATTGATATTTAGCTTGTATTTCTCATAAGTACCGAAATTGTGTTGACTTTCAATTGAAAGCACCGTACGAGTGTTCACATAGTTGTCGGAAATCTTTTGTTTAATAAGTTCAGATAAATCAATTGAGAATTTTAATCGAAATCCATGTGAATAATTGGTTCGTTTTAAATGACACATAAATGTGCCATTGTGAAAGTCGAATTCCGGTGTTATTGATATTTGAAATGTATTACCTGTGAAAACATGAAATAATCAGATTGGCCAAAAAAACTTGAAGTAAAAGTTCAACAGACAAAATGTATCTGAAATCATCTAATCTGACAATAATGTTTGGCTTCCACGATCAGTTAACACACATAAGTAATGTGAGATTTGAATTAGTAAGGTATTTCACTCTTCGAGATATAGGCTAATATTCTACAGACTTTATTCTGAACTTTATGATTATCACAATAAATAAATCTTCATGCCAATATTTTCGTAAACAATTCTGACCAATTCATAAAACAGCTCGTAAGGATCTGATTTGTTAAAAGCCAAGATCATATTCAGTAGTATTCATAAGTATTATCACTATCTATTGTGTAATCTATATCATACAAGAATATACACTTGTTAGTGATGTTATAAAGAATTACTTTAATCAAAACATACATTTTTTTATTGGTGGTATTGTTGACATCCCATTTTAGAATTTGAGTTTCTGAGAGTTTACTTAGAAACATTCATCACATTATCTTCAGTGATTATTTATTTGTAATCGTTGATTAATCTTCACAATAAGTGACTAACTGTGTAGTCAATTTAGATTAATGTACAGCTCACATGTTTATCAAAATGCCTTAATACTTCCTACTTTTCTTAATCTACAGTTTAATTTATTCTGTTGCATAATAAAGGTATGTAAACGATCACAGGACTATAATTCGACTTATCGATACTTTTACTCACCAACATTTTCAGTGGCCTACATCCATAAAGTACAGCGTCTAATTTTATTTTGAAAAACTAATTGTTTTAACAGATGATCGAGATAAAAACTGATTTGAAATGAACCCAACAGAAACTATCCCTTCCTTGTGTGTGATTTATTATAATGCAACAGAACGAAGGATTCCGTAGATGCCCAACTTCGAGATCAACAGACTGGATTTCGTAAGGATTGATCGTGCACAGACCAAATCGCAACTCTACGGATCATTGTGGAACAATCAATTGAATGGAATTCACCACTCTACATCAACTTCATTGATTACGAGAAAGCATTTGATAATGTGGACGGGACAACACTATGGAGGCTTCTTCGACACTAAGGCGTGCCTGAGAAGATAGTCAATATCATACGGAACTCCTATGATGGACTAAATTGCCAAATCGTCCATGGAGGACAACTCACTGACTCATTCGAGGTAAAGACCGACGTTAAGCAAGGTTGCTTACTCTCACCCTTTCTCTTTCTCCTGGTGATCAACTGGATCGTGAAGACGTCAACATCTGGAGAAAAGCACGGGATACAATGGACAGCTAGGATGCAGCTGGACGATTTAGACTTCGTAGATGATCTGGCTCTTCTATCACAAACGCAACAACAAATGCAGAAGATGACCAGTGTAGCAGCAACCTCAGCAGCAGTAGGTCTCAATATACACAAAGTGAAAAGCAAGACTCTCAGATACAATACAGCATGCACCAATCGAATTACACTTGGTGGAGAAGCTTTGGAGAATGTGAAAACCTTTACATATCTGGACAGTATCATTGATGAACACGGTGGATCTGATGTAGATGTGAGGGCGAGGATCAGCAAAGGAAGAGCAGCATATTTATAACTAAAAAACATCTGGGACTCAAAACAATAGCCAACCAACACTAAGGTCAGAATTTTCAATACAAATGTCAAGACAGTTCTACTGTATGGGGCGGAATCCTGGAGAACTACGAAAGCCATCATCCAGAATATACAAGTGTTTATTAACAGTTGTCTACGCAAGATACTTCGGATCCGATGGCCAAACATTATCAGCAACAAGTTACTGTGAAAGAAAACAAACCAGATTCCGGAGGAGAAAGAAATCAGGAAGAAGCGCTGGAAGTGAGTTGGGCACACCTTGAGGAAATCACCCAATTGCGTCACAAGACATGCCCTCACATGGAATCCTGAAGGTCAAGGGAGAAAAGGAAGACCAAAGAACACATTACGCCGAGAAATAGAGACAGACGTGAGAAGAATGAAGAAAAGCTGGATAGAACTAGAAAAGAAGGCCCAGGACAGAGTGGGTTGATTGGAAAATGCTGGTTGGTGGCCTATGCTCCAATGGAAGTAACAGGCGTAAGTGAGTAAGTAACGTGTAAGTATCAATGCAAAAACAATATCTGACATTAAAACATTTTTATCACAGTAAAGAAAATTCTAGTTAGAATTTCATTAGGTCTACATTTTCTTAATAACGGATGTTTGCTTTCAGTAAGTTACCAATTCAGTATGAAATGTTTTTTTCTGTCCATAGTTACAGAAAAGAAACATGATTTATTGTTTTATGTGTTTCCATTACTTTTAACACAACTGAAACTTCACCCAAATATTATCCCTTCTATGAAGAAAAAAGTTTACAAAATGTAAAAGTTTATTCGATATTCACGTTATGAATATTCATATTAAGTTGTCGATTTTGTCATTTATATTACAGAAATCAAATATTGTAATAAAATCGTTGTTTAGAGTCAAAGTACCCTAAACTATGCTTGCTAAACCGATGAGTATATGTATATATATGCATAATTGTAGTACATTTTAATGTATGTCATATTCATGATATCATGATATATAATTTGTAGTTGGGAAGAGAAAAAGAAATCCACTTTTTACGATATTTTTAGAAAAAAGAAACATTGCAATGTAATAAACTAAAACAGTCAAAATTATAGTCCATTTATGATAGTAGAATGCATTGTACTATAGTATTGCAATCACGTGATGTTTGACCGCATGAGATTTTGATAATAATGATAGAATGTTTTGGCTATTACTATTTGTTAAAATTTCACTGAACTTGTATAAAGGGAATTCTTATTGTGTGTTATAGAAACTATAATGGCTATAATTTTTAGATTAAGTACAAACAGAAATGTTGTTTTTTCCAAAAATGCTAATTGAGCCGCCGTATTGACGTAGATTCACGGTAGGAGGTATCAGAAAGCGATATTGATGAACTACTACTTGATGAACTACCTATTCTCTAGTCAAAAACAAACTCATTGAAGAGAAAAATACAATGTCCAGGTAATAGCTATTTTATCCGGATAAAAATCACTTGTCTGCATTAAAAGAAACAATGTCTTGAGGTAACCAATTCAGATTTAATGTCAGATTTCTTACCACGTCACACTATTTTATCCGTGACCATCGACTGCACTCAATGCAAACAGTTATGGGAGATCAAAATAAGAAAATAATTCACGAAACTATAATATAATTCAAATTAATCCATTCTCACACGTAATGTCAATTAACATACAATCGACATATATTAACTCACCATCCATACAAACTTTATCTTCCAATGTAATGTTTTTCGTTTTATTTGATTGACATCTTGAACTGTAGTAGGATAAACATACAGGTGTATTATAACAAGATAAACCGCAGCATTTTGCATCGGTTACAGTTCTTTCACCTTCATCATAATTAACACTAATTTCTATAAGTTAAAATGAAAAGAAGCAAGTATTTTATACTTATCAATTAATTAATGTATTTAAATGGCACATAATTCAAGTACTGAATGAAGTGAATGGTGTAAGTTAAGTGTCTGATATTACTAATAACTTATAAATTTTCATAGTTGAAATCATGAATCCATTGAAGCTAGACCACTATGAAAATCTGGAAGCACAGAACCCTTTCTGATTATAGTCATATGCTCACGAGTGACTGTCTTCAAGAGATGTTTCCTGGAGTTCTAGTGGGAAGCAGTGACCAGTGGAGTTCAACCAAGTCTGTTGTGAGAGAACAACTCACTGAAGACGTTGGGTGAACGGTTGCTCAAACTTCGTGGATTGGTTGAGGTTAGACATTAACACCGTTGGATGCCAGCTCAGTAGTCTATCGGTTAAGTGCTCTAGCGCGACACTGGTATGTCCTGGATTCGAATCTCGTGAGGCGAGATCTTGAATGCGCATTGCTGAAGAGTCCCATAATAGAACGAAACGGCCGTCCAGTGCTTCCAGGTTCTCATGGTAATCTAGCTTCAATTGACTCATGATATCAACTATGAAAATAATGAAATCTCCATGAAACCCTTTCTGAACTTATAAATTGATAATAATGAATTATAATTTTGAAATGGTATTTGCTTTTGTTTCCTGGATTGAGTAGGATTGAATCATCAAGAAAATTATCAACATTTTAGTATGATATATATTCATTATTGAATTAGGTCTTTTGAAATACTTGGTCATAAAAAAATGTAAATTATTCTTACAGTCTGTTAATTTGTTGACGATTCTTGAAAAAATAAAACAGAATAATTGATGTACAGTTTAAAGATCTGATCTGGTTGTTCACAATTTTTCATTCATTTCCTTTATATTTGACACAGATGAGTTATTTCTTATCAATCTCTCAAGAAAAGTATCCAACTTATCAGGGATTAATTCGTACTCCTTCTTAGATATGCATTCATTTAACATTATCTGCTAAATTACATTTCATTCCACTTAACTGACTCTTTAATTAAGCATGATTTAAAATAATGCCTTTTCACTGACAAATCAAGTATCATGTATGAAATTAATTGATTGATTACTTAGAATGAATTTTCCAGTTTGTAAAATGTGAAAATTTGCCAGTGGTTTGTTTACTGCTAAAATTATCATACTTGATCATTTGCTGGAATTCCTGTAGAGACATGTATTTTGTCACTGGATTTTTTTTTGGGGGGGGGGAATAAAAGTAAATTTCCCTCTACAAACCTGTAAATATTTTATGAGCCTCTAATCAATAAACCTATAAAACCAGTCTATTGTGTATAAATGTATTGAGTTGTTATTATCAAAATATGTTGACGATTGCAACATTTACTTCTAACTATGTCTTTATTAATCTTATTAATTGTTAACGCTTAAAAATATCAGAAGGGGTTTTGTGGATATTATAATAATTTTAATAGTTGAGATCATGAATCAATTGAAGCTGGACCACCATAGATGAATGAGGGTGCTGAGGAGTCCCGTAATAGGACGAAAGGGCCGTCCAGTGCTTCCACGTTTTCCATGGAGGTCTAGCTTCAATCGATTCATGATTTCAACTATTAAAATTGCTTGAAAGATACTTGCAAAAGGTCAATTATGCATCCATGTTCAGATTTTAACATTTATTACTGTACATTTTGTAAAGACATGGACATTAAGTTATAAATGAGAAATGAAACGGCTATTTCATTAAATAACAGGTCGAATGATATCTAATATGCCAGTATGTCAAAAACGATTTTTATCTTTAATAATAACAACAAAACGTATTTCAGTGACGAATAATGAATTCATGGTGAGTAAACTCATGAAGTAACGTTTACACACACACAGACACAAATAGAACTGCAATTTTAAAAGTAAAAAAATACTTTTATTGATGTGAAGCCTTTCCATTTTCCTATTAAATATACAATAACAGCTAAACAAAATTTCATTATCGTTAACTAAGAGGAATAAAAGAATATTTAAATTTATACGTTTGTATTTGTTCTCTGGAACAATAAAATCGATATTCAGACAGGTAATTGATTAGAAATAGGTATTAAGATTACTTAATAATGCTTTGCATCGTAAATGTTAATTTTGTAAATCCTAACTTCGGTAATATTAACAGTAACAAGTTTAATCTGATTATCCTTTTTCAAACTTGTTTAAAAAAGGTCAAGACACTTCTACTGTACGGAGCTGAAATGTTGAGAACTACCACAATCATCATCATAAAGATACAAGTATTAATAAATAGTGTACACAATATATTCAGAATCTATTAGCCGGATAACAACTGGAAAGTATTGCCCAGGACAGAGTTGAATAGAGAGTGCTGGTGGGTGGACTATGCTCCTCCATGAGGTGTAACAGGCATAAGTAAGCAACAGTCACAAGTCTAAAACTGTGGTTGCTAACCACTAGTGATAAGTAAATCATTCGACTTTATTTAAAAGTTTTTTGATATGAACAGATAACTTGATAATAACAAAATAACTGTGTATTTCATTCACACAATAGTCAGCTTCATTATAGTCGAACATTCTAGTTAAGTATAACGAAAAATTAAAATTATTGTAGTGAACAAGAACACGACTGGGGACAATCGAATGTATTTAAGCACAAATTACAAACTATCTTACTAATATCTGATAACCATATAGTGAACAGTTAATTTCCAAAATAATAATCAATTGTCTCAATCTTCACTGTTCCTTCTGTAAATATCAGTTCATCTTCTCTAATTTCATTGTTCATGCATTTTCTCACCAATTGCGCTTCATTTCACTTCTTTCCTTATCGGTCTTCTGACAAAATACATTCAATGCCTGATCATCATCATATACTACTAATATGGATATAAGTAGACCACACAACAATTCGCCTTGCAAATTCACTTAGTTTGTTACTAACATATTAAAATATATTTCTAATTTAATTCAGTGACTTATACAGATTTTTTGTAATTTTTTTCCCTTAACACTTAAATCTAATTTTTTAAAAATAGTTTAAAACCATTTTATCCTTAATTTCTAGTCAATTCTTTATTTTATTTAATAAATATGATAATGTCACTATATTATTTTTTTTTGTATTTTCATTCTACCCCTTTTATAATTATATGCAAATAATTAGAACTGTAAGGACAAAGAAAAATATTCTCAAGAGATTTAAATGGTGGCAATAATGATAATAATAAGAATAATAATAATGATGTCGATGATAGTTAACACGTAGATGATCATTATTGAAGGTTAACAGATTTTTTTTTCTTTTATTATCCTCAATCGAAAAATCTTTGAATCAAGAAATGCGGAAGAAAAAAAATTAAAAAAAACTTACTTAGAAACAATTCAATGGAATTTGAAATTAATTTAAAAAAACAAAACAAGCCAACAACAACAACAACCTGATTTTTCAAGTTGACTACTCTAAGTGTATTATCATGAGAATACTAATTAACTGATTGTATTTAAATAGTTATAGATTATTTAACAAATTTATACTTAGAAATTAACTTAACTTCCTACTGAGTTCAATGAAGAAAAAAAAGAGTGTTATAGAATAATTAAACTAAATTGTAAATTAGTTTCATTGTATAGAGGGAGAATATTGAGCTATAAGAAATAAGAAGAACAAAAAAAACCTTCATTGACCTTATTACATTTAATAAATCAATTCAGGAAGAATATTTTAGAAAAAATGCGGTATAATCAAAGGATATGATAAAAATTTAAATAATAAAAGCAGTACATTGGATTTAAATGTTACCCTTTTTGTAGAATTGATTGTCCGGAACAAACGTTATTCAGATATTAAAAAGTAATTCTTCCTATCTGATTCAAACTGATGTTTGTGTTGTAAATCTCAAGAATATTAGTTATGTGTATAGTCAACGTATTAGTATTTTACACAAAGTATATCATTTACAGGTTTATTTTATGAAATGATCTGCTGAGTAAATAATTTGTTGGAGTTATCAATTTGATGCATCTTGAAAAAATGGCGGAATTCGCTAAGGTATCGAGTACCATCGAAAACTTGAATTATTCAGTATTTCCATTTTAGATAATTATTAACTGAGGTGTAAACGAGATTATACGAAAACTTCACCCAAAAATTTAAAATTCCCGATAAGAAGAATAACATATCATTGGATGCACTTTATCATATAATGTCATAAAAGAAATGATTATACAAAGCAGTTATATTAAAAGTCATTTTCAGGCACGTTGAATAATCTAGATGAGGAAACCATATATCTAACTGGAATTCAAGACTTAATTGAAAATTATAATAATGGAAGTCTGATATATACATGCAACGTATCATGGATAGTCTTATCGTATAAAACGATATCAATTAATCTAATTAGCAATAATTAAATATTATGTCCAAGTTAACCGATTACTACTGACCAGCCAAATCAGATAGTTAAGGAGAAAAAACACTAAGAATGTCTGTGAGCTCCCATATTAAATGCAAACATGCATTATGTAAATGTATCGATGACTGAATCTTCAAAAAACTAAATATCGACTATCTTATTGAGTTGATAAAACTTACATGTAATTTTAGCCAACGGTATCTTAATAGTTACTCTTGTAATCTAAGTAATCGACACACTACCATGATTATTTTTAAACGGGCTTTAAACTAAACGATTCTTGGTTCCGTGTATTATTCCGTTCTTTATAATAAGCCAAGAATAGTGGATTTTTAATTGGTGAAGATAATGTATTTAATGGTATGCCTCCAGTATATCCCAAGGCAACATTCAGTACTCCCTTTCAGATTTGTACTTAAAAGAACAACAGTCATTTTATTTATATTTTTTGCAAGTTTAAAATAACTTTGTTTGTTATTTTTACTATCAGTTTAAGAAAATAACAAAATAGTCGTTTAGTACTGTGATGTTGTAGTGAACGAGAACACAAGTGCGAGATAACCAAGCGCATTT